CGTAAATACATACATATACATATATTTGATAAGAGAATAGTAATGATGATGATAATAATAATAATAATATAAATGGTTAAAAAACAAATAATACGGAGAGAATAGGAATTGGTATAATAGTTATAGAAACATTGACCTCAACCAAACTTCAAAGTCATAATAAAATTTTTTTTTTTCTTTTTGTGATTCATACCTGGTTACCAGATGTACAAACGAAAAAAAAAATTACCGCTTTCTTGTGTTGTTGTTGTTGTTGTTGTACAATACAACAACAACCGGCCGACAATAACAATAATCGTCTGCTTGAAATTTTTTAAATCGTTAAATGTTTAGGTTTTTTACTGATTTAATAATACCCCCCGAAAAGTTGCGTGAGAAAAGAAAAAAAAAATTATTTATTTATTTAATAAATGATCGATTTGTCCGCAGCAAATTTTATTTTTTTTGCTGTAGGAAATATTTCATTTTAAAAAGATTTAATTTTGCGCAAATTTTATTTAAAGAAAGGAAAAAAGAAATCAAAAAATTTTTTTTTTTTTTAATTACAGGTGTGAATTTTATAGTCGATTTTAATTATTTAAAAACCGTAAAATTTAATTTAAAAAAAAATTAACATTAATATAAAGGACAGACAGACAGGCAGGCAAGACGGCAAACAAACAAACAAACAAACAATGAATAAAATATTTAAATCCGTATTTTGTCACCTCAAATTATTTACAAATAGAAAACTTGAAAAAAAAAAGAAAAAAAATTTACAAGAATTCAATACTAATTATTATCGTACAATTTTGTTTGTTTGTTGTTGTTGTTTGTTATTGTTTGTTTGTTTCTATTGTTTTTGAGTTTTTTTTTTTTCAATACAAAAAACTTTTATTTATTTAATTTTTTTTTTTTTTGTTAAATTTCGGGTTGTTAACTTTTACGCACGCACGCACGTAAATTTTTTATTTTACAAAATAAATTTTCTTTTTTTTCTTTCTAAGAATTAATGACGTCATATCCGGTTTGTTTTTTCCGCCCGCCTGCTTTAATTTTATTCAGCGACCTTTTCTTTTTTTTAAATATATATAAAGGCAAAATAAAAATAATTGATTAATTTTTTAATGTATACAAAGAAAAAAAAAAAACACGTAGCACAACAAGACGGTTGTCGACGACGGTTATGAGTTTGTTTTTATTTTTTTTTTTTATATGTAGAATAAATTTCGTCTGCTAATATTTAACGACTAACATCGACATGACTTTGTGAATATTAATCCCTTCGGGACAATTATTATTATTATTATTTATAAACGTTAAATATTTGTTTTTCTCGTGTTCGATGTAATTTAAAGTTAAGCAAATTTAAACGGAAAGGTGTTTGTTGTTGTTGTTGTTGTGGTTTTTAACATACAGGTGAAGAAGTAGTGAAAAAGGGGATCGGGATTTTTTACATTTATAATCATCATCATCATCATTATTATTATTATTATTACAAAGACCGGTATTAATTTTTAACCGTGCGAAAAAAAAATTAAAGAAAAAAAATTCGAATTTGTTTATTTATTTATTTATTTTTTCGTTTTTGTCGATTTTACTCAATAAAATTATTAAAAATTTATTTATTTATTTATTTATCTAGTGACACGTTTTTTTTAGTAAAAATAAATAAAATTTTCACGATCGGAATTAAAAAAGGAAAAAAAGAAAATGAAACTTTTTAAAAACGTTTTCATCATTGTTAATTTAAATAAATAATAAATCAATAATAACAAATCGATATTATTATTATTATTATTATTTTTAAAAAATAAGTACATAAGTAAAATACATAAATATGTATTATTAATAAAATTTTATTTTATTTTAATCATATTTCGATAGTCGATTGTTCGCCTTTTTTCTTTCTCGATTGATTTTTGCCTCGATACACATATTTCAAATGTTAAAAGAGCTACAACAACAACAACAACAACAAACGTGTCTTTAAATATGATTAGCAGAAGAAAAAACAAAAACCCCCAAAGGATACATTCAATCATTTCATAATAATAATAATAATAATAATTTTAACATTGAATAAATGTTCGCATTCAAATTGTGACCGCCCGGATATTAATAATATTTTTTTTTAATGCAAATATTACGCGCACGTCTAATTTTATTTTTTTATTACGTAATTTATTATTATTATTTATATTTTGTTTTTTTCGTTCCATCCGATTCGACGTGATAATTTTATTACTTTCATGACGTCATAATATATATAAAAAAAACGACATTAATTATCGACGTAAAAAATTTTTTTTTCTTTTAAATTAATAATAATTATTAATTTATGGTTTTAATATTTATGTAAATATCACACTGATTTATTTATTATTATTATCATCATCGATAATTTTCATATTTTAATAAGAGTAATTTTTTTTTTTTTGATGATTTAAATTACAAAATGGCGGCGGAAAAAAATTTCTTTTGAGTTTTTTTTTTTTTTTGATTGGTGGAAGAAGTTGAAAGGAAGAAATGCGTGAAAAAGTTTTTCGTAAAAAAAAAAAAATTGAATTCTATAAATACTTATACCTAATAGAATAATAATAATGATAGTAATAATAATAATAATAATAATAATAAGGGAAATATTATATAAAGTGTAAAGAAAACCTATTTTTTTTTTTTAATTAGAAAGCGTATGACCGTATTCATTATAACTTCCCGTTATTGTTTTAAATTTTATTTCATTAAAGAAAGAAAAAAAAAAATTAATAGACGTTTTTATAGTTATAGTATATATATATTTTTTGCTATAAATATAAAAATATAGTCTATAATATAAAAACAATTAAGAATATATAAATATATATATCGAAAGTTTTCTTTTTTCTATCGTTGCGAGTAAAAAGAAAACATTTTTTTTTTTAATAATTTTTTTTTTTAATAATTTTTTTTTTTTTAAATTTATCAATATGATTTGAAGTAATCAATCAATCAATCAATCAATCAATCAATCAATCATTCATTCATTTAATCGATTATGTTCATGTTATATTATTTTAAATTTTTAGAATGCAGTAAAAAATAATGATAGAGCTCGGGTTAAGGTAAAAATTTTACTTTTTTTCATGTTCGTGACGTCATAATTAATTTTCGCGGAGGGCAAAATTTAAAAAAAAATTTTTTCCGATTTCCCCTTTTCCCCCTTTCCCCCCTTCCCACTCTTCCCCCGCTTGCCTTTTTCGCCTTCCGAAATAATGAGTTTTTTTTTTGAAATTTAAATTTAAATATCATCAGCGTCCAATGATTTATTTTTTTTTTTTTTATGTAACGAAACAAAAAAATATTTTCACGGCCTTATAATACAAATGTAATTCGCTTTCACTTACAATAATAATAATAATAATAATGATAATAATAATAATGGATGATATGAGTTGACCATTCACGTATAAAAGCCATATACAGGCACGTAATAAGGCGGAACTTATTCGACGAATAGAAAAAATTTTAAAATGTCAGCTCCGATACTAATCGTAATAATAATAATAGTAATAATAATAATAATAATAATAATAATATTGTATTAAAATTAAATTTTTCTTTTTTTTTTAAAAAAAAAATTTAATTTAATTTAATTCTTCAATGATAACGTTATCATTATTTAAATATTTATCATTTTTTATTCAATTTTTTTTTCTTTTTCAATAACCTTTTTGCACGGCTGCCAACCACAATTTTTTTTTTTTTCAATTTTCAGCCATTTTGTTTTATTTTAAATAAATAAAACCACGTGGGGCAGCTATATTTGTTTAGATTAATTTTTTTTTTATTCGTATATTCGTAAAAAAAAAAAAAAAAAGGAAAAGTTATTAACAAATAAAAATTCCAAATTTGCTCCAGTTTAATAAAAATAATAATAA